TCACTCCTTGACTTATGTCTTGTCTCTGACCCTAGCTTATGTTCAGTTTCTCCCTTTCCTCCCTTAGGTGGTTCTGACCATGCAATGATCTCTATAAATCTTTCTTCTCGTACTTCTTTTTTGGGCTCACCTTATCATTGCACCACCTACTACTACCCTAAAGCTGACTGGGATTCTTTTCATGATTTTCTTCGTGATGGTCCTTGGGCTGATGTTTTTTCTCTCTCAGCTGATAAATGCGCCTCCTACGTAACCTCCTGGATTCAGGCTGGAATGGAAGCTTTTATTCCTTCTCGTCGGTTTCAAGTCAAGCCTCATTCTACTCCATGGTTTTCTCCTTCTTGTGCGGCTGCTATATCCAATCGTAATCATTTTTTTCATCTTTTTCAAAAGAACAACTCTCTTGAGAACAAACGACTATTTATTATTGCAAGAAATCGATGTAAAAAGGTGCTTTCTGATGCTAAACTCCATTATTCTCAGTTCACTAAATCTCGCATCTTATCGCAGAAGTTAGGCTCTAAAGACTTTTGGAAAATCTTCAACAGCATTGTTAACAAGGGTAGATCTAACATTCCATCTCTCATTCATGGGACTGATCTTATTACCTCTCCCAAGGATAAGGCAGAACTATTTGCAAAGAACTTTTCTTCTAATTCCACTCTTGAATCTTATGGACATTCTCTTTCTTCCATTCCAGTCAAACAGGTTGACCCATTGTTAGAAATTCATATCTCAATTAAACTTGTCTACAGCTTGTGGTCCAGACAACATTCCTGTCACAGTCTTGCAGAATTTTCTCCAGAACTTTCTTCAATTCTCTCTAAACTATTTAACAAGTGTTTGACTGAGTCTTGTTTTCCTACTTGTTGGAAAATGGCATCTGTGGTTCCAATATTCAAAAACTCTGGAGAAAATTCTGACCACTCCAATTATCGTCCAATCAGTCTTCTTTCTGTTATTAGCAAGGTCTTTGAGTTTTTGATCAACAAATTCCTCACATCTCATCTTGAGTCAAATAAACTACTGTCCGACAATCAATAGGGTTTTCGATCCTCTCGCTCTACGGCCGACTTGCTAACTGCTTTAACTGAAAGATTTTATCGTGCATTAGATGGAGGCGGTGAGGCTAGGGCTATTGTTCTCGACATATCTAAAGCTTTCGACAAAGTTTGGCATGCTGGTCTTCTCCATAAACTTGCTTCATATGGTGTTTCTGGGAAAGTTTTTGAGATTACCAAATCATTTCTTTCTAACCGGTTTATTAAAGTCATCCTTGAAGGCCAACACTCTTCTTTATTTCCAGTAACTTCTGGGGTTCCTTAAGGTTCCATCCTGGGCCCTGTTTTGTTTCTTATCTACATAAACGATCTTCCTGACAACCTTTCATCTAAAGTAGCTCTTTTTGCTGATGACTCAACTTTATACTCCTGTCTTGACAAAAAGTCTTCTCTTTTCGATCGCCTAGAACAAGCAGCTGATCTTGAATCCGATCTCACTTCAGTAATAGATTGGGGTTCACAGTGGCTTGTGAATTTCAACTCTAACAAAACCCAGTTGTTTACTGCAAGCAACTACCGTAATATGGTCAACATTCCTATATTAATGAATGGCAATCCTCTTACTGAGTCCTCCTCTTTACGTTTTCTTGGATTATTGCTTTCTACTGACCTTTTACGGAGGCCATATATACAATCAATTGCTAAATTAGCTTCTGCTAAGGTTGCTTCTCTTTATCATGCTCGCCATTTCCTTACTTCTGATTCCATTCTCTACCTCTACAAATCTCTTATTCGCCCCTGTATGGAATACTGTTGTCATATTTGGGCTGGTTCTTCTAACGATTCACTTTCTCTTCTTGACAAGGTCCAAAAACGCATTGTAAATGTTGTTGGACCTGGACTATCTGCTAAGCTTGAGCTTCTTTCCCATCATCGTAAAGTTGCATCTCTTTCTCTTTTCTACAAATACTATCATGGTCACTGCTCAAAGGAGTTATCATCTCTAGTTCCATCAACTAAAATTCATTCTCGTTTTATTCGTCATTCAGCTAAGTCTCATTCGTTTACTGTATCTGTCCCTGCATGCTCTAAAAACTTTTATTCATCTAGTTTTTTTCCCAGCACTTCAATCCTTTGGAACTCTCTCCCATCTTCATGTTTTCCTGAATCATACAACCTTTAACTTTTCAAGTCTTCTGTCAACCGTTTCCTTGCTCTATAACTCTGTTCTTTTTTTTCCTAGTAACTCCCAACTTAATAGTGGTTGCTTGCAGCCTTGTTGGGAGTGAATGCAAATAAAATTAAAAAAAAAAAAACCCTACATAAGTCAAAATAGGTGTCAGACATTGACACCTCTAAGACTATTTCTAAGAATCACTTAAGGGGGGCAACCAAAAACTGTTTATTGTGTCAGAAAAAACTAACAAATACTTGTTGCCCTCCTCCTTACCCTAAAATGATATTTTAAAATGATTATTATTTTTAATTGACAGGTTCTCTAAATTTCATCACTTTCAAATAATATTTCACACTTGCCAAGCTTCATGACTACAAAGAAAAATTTTGACTGTCAAGACATTTTTTTAGGTGTACAACTAAATTAGATATGTAAGGCTTTTATTTTTTTTTAAATAATATTTTTTTAAATAATGTCTTTTCTAGAAATTCATTTTTTTTTTTACATTATTTAATTTTAACTATTCATTAAATTATTACATTTCTTATTTAGTCAAACAAAATTTCAGTTAATTCAGTTGATCTATTCTGTTTATATTTAAATCAACATTTTTTTGCTCTTGTACTTGTTATTGTTGTACTTGCTAACAAACAATTTGATACAACAATATACTTCTCATTAATATAAGTTTGATACAACAATATACTTGAGTCTCATTAATATAAGTTGAAATAATCAAGAAGAGAATCAGTGGACTATTTTTTCTATATAAATTTTTCTGACATTTAATAAAAAAATAACTTATTAGCATATCAAATTATTATTTATTTATTTATTTAATTTTTTTTGAGGTTATAAAAGTATTAAACATGCTGGTCTTCTCCATAAGCTTGCTTCATATGGTGTTTCTGGGAAAGTTTTTGAGATTATCAAATCATTTCTTTCTAACCGGTTTATTAAAGTCATCCTTGAAGGCCAACACTCTTCTTTATTTCCAGTAACTTCTGGGGTTCCCCAAGGTTCCATCCTGGGCCCTGTTTTGTTTCTTATCTACATAAACGATCTTCCTGACAACCTTTCATCTAAAGTAGCTCTTTTTGCTGATGACTCAACTTTATACTCCTGTCTTGACAAAAAGTCCTCTCTTTTCAATCGCCTAGAACAAGCAGCTGATCTTGAATCCGATCTCACTTCAGTAATAGATTGGGGTTCACAGTGGCTTGTGAATTTCAACTCTAACAAAACTCAGTTGTTTACTGCAAGCAACTACCGTAATATGGTCAACATTCCTATATTAATGAATGGCAATCCTCTTACTGAGTCGTCCTCTTTACGTCTTCTTGGATTATCGCTTACTACTGACCTTTCATGGAAACCATATATACAATCAATTGCTAAATTAGCTTCTGCTAAGGTTGCTTCTCTTTATCATGCTTGCCATTTCCTTACTTTTGATTACATTCTCTACCTCTATAAATCTCTTATTCGTCCCTGTATGGAATACTGTTGTCATATTTGGGCTGGTTCTTCTAACGATTCACTTTCTCTACTTGATAAGGTCCAAAAACGCATTGTAAATGTTGTTAGACCTGGACTATCTGCTAAGCTTGAGCTTCTTTTCCATCGTCGTAAAGTTGCATCTCTTTCTCTTTTTTACAAATACTATCATGGTCACTGCTCAAAGGAGTTATCATCTCTAGTTCCATCAACTAAAATTCATTCTCGTTTTACTCGTCATTCAGCTAAGTCTCATTCGTTTACTGTATCTGTCCCTGCATGCTCTAAAAACTTTTATTCATCAAGCTTTTTTCCCTGCACTTCAATCCTTTGGAACTCTCTCCCATCTTCATGTTTTCCTGACTCATACAACCTTCAACTTTTCAAGTCTTCTGTCAACCTTTTCCTTGCTCTATAACTCTGTTCTTTTTTTTCCTAGTAACTCCCAACTTGATAGTGGTTGCTTGCAGCCTTGTTGGGAGTGAATGCAAATGAATGATAATAAGTTAGTATTTAATTTTGCAAACAATTAGACACAAAGATGGTATTTAATAATATTTAATATTGTTATGTCATGAAACAGATTTAGAATGTTATAAAAACTACTCAATTTTTATTTTATATTATGTGATATGAAAATAGTAAATTTTTATTTTTTTTAAAAATTATATTAACTAAGTTAAATGTAAAGATTTAATAAATAAATAAGATTGGCTATTCCAATATCAAATGTCATTTTTTAGAAACATTCTAACATTATATTAAAAATGTCAACATCATTATTATAATATTGTCTGAGAGCTTATAACATCTTCTATCTGTGTACAATTCCATTTTAAATTTTATGATGGACAAGCTAATAAGGTATGGTCACATAAAAATTTGAATTTTATAACTGACAAGCAAATAGGGTTAATTATAAAAAACTCATAATTATAAAAATATGATCACATTATAAAAATCCTAATTTTAATTTCTATTTTGCAAACATTTAAGATATAGAAATATCAATTTAATTTTAATTTTTTTAAACTTACTTTGATGCTCCGTAAAAAAAAACCAAAACTAGTTTCAAAAAACCAAAACTAAGTTTTTAATTGAAATCAAAACAAAGTTTTACATTTTTATTGTCAGTATAAATTGAATAAAATAAATAATAATAACAATAAAATAAATGAATAGCGTTTTTTATATGACTTTTGGTAAGGTTAACTATCGTTTTATGATGTTTTTTTTCATTTTTATAACTTCGTTTTAATATATTGAAACATCTAAATTTATTTAAAAAATATATAAATAACAAAATATTTAAAAAAAAAACATACTTGATGATTCACAAGATGATTTATCTGCTTTTTCTATTGTTAATTTCCTCACAATATAAGATGCATAAACTTTTGTGTCTTCAAGAGTAACAATAAAGCCTTTATAAGTCTCACTTCCTTTTAAAGGCCAATAAAGATCACATTTTTTCTAAATAAAAAATAAAATAAATTTTATGCTATTTTATACACAATTTTTATATTTAAATACTATGATAAACTAACTAAACTCATCACAATACATAACTACAATACATAACTAAATTATTTAAAATACATACAATACAAAAATTAATTATTTTATATTTGATTAATTTGAATTAATTTAAGTTTTTGTTAAAATTTATTCTTATATATTATTATTATTATAAATGATATTATTAACAAATTTATTTTTATTATTAATTTTGAAATTTTAAAATGCATCAAAACTAAACTTTTGGAAAAAAATCATTTATGACAATCAAATATTAGATAAAATAGAAACTCATAGATTAATGTTCTCAACTTCAATCACAAAGCATGAAAATAAGTTATCAAATTTCAGTGATAAAAAAAATAATCAAACTTCAATAATAAAAAATATCAACTGAAGTTTGATATTTTTATATTATTGAAGTTTAGGCACACTAAGGCATTACCTTAGTGGACCCAATTACAAGATTTAAGTCCATTAAAAAAAAAAGCTTGGAAGGACTGAAAAATAATAAAATTTAATGTCAAATGTAAAAAATTTGCTCGATCACGCAAAAGATGTTCTTCAAAGTCCATTTCAAAAGAATTATGTAGGAAACTGATCAAGTATATGCCAAAGCATGTTTAATATGCTACAAATCAAAGACAGTAATTAAATTTAATTATTAAATCAAACATTTTCCTTTCTTAGTTAGAATTACTAAATTTTAATACATATATAAAAATTTGTTCAGTAATTTTATTCATTCATTTTACATTATATTTTCTTTTTCCTATATTGTTTTTTTCTATTTTCCTATTAACCCGACACCGCATACATTTTTTTTCAGATTTTTTAGATTTTCCACTAACTTATCAGATTGCAGATCTCATGAATAAAAAACCATTTATGTGCTTTAAATCCCCGGATTCATTAGTATATTTTATCAGAAAAACTAAACATATGCGCATTTATTTAAATTTACACTATAAAATTAAGACAAAATCTGCGGTGTCGGGTTAACTACATAAATAAATTATTAAAATAAAACTAATTTGCCTCCCTATGGCTCTAGAATTGAGGAGACTTTATAAATTTTAATTTGCAACTCTCTCTCTCAACACTAAACTTTAAAACCATAAATTTTTTTAAATAAAGCTGCTATGCCAAGAAACAAAACAGTTTAGGGCAAGAAACAGGACGGGCATAATACTATCAGAGACCCAGAGTGAATTTGAGCCTCAACTTATAAAGCTAAGTGTTCTGCCAATAGTCTACTATCACATAAACAAAAGTTATTAATTATGTACAAGCAGTGTCTTATATAATATTAAAACTGTGAATCTACTGGTATTTACTCAAGTAAATATAATTTTTAGTTAAATTGCACAATAAAAATTATTATATTGAAAACCTTTCCAGTTTCAATCAAATCTGTTAACATAACAATAACACGACACTCTGATTCCCAAACCATTCTCCAAAAATCACAAATTGTGTGTGCCAAAGGAGCTTGTGTTGCAATATATGCATTTTTTCTATCATAACCATCAACATAATTTGCATTTATGTAATTTGAACCAGGTACTCCAGACATTGTGCGCAGTCGAAAACGAGTTTGGTCATCTATAAATAAATTAAAAATAAATTTTTAATCAAAATAAACAAATATTTAAAAAATAAAATTAGTGATCATCATAATATCATTATCACTAATTTGTTATACTTATGCACAATTTTCTCATGTAAAAACATCATCAAAAAATATTATCACATATTTATAAAATTAAGTTATGTTTGAAAAACAGTCTTACATGCAACGATATCATGATAACGATTTTTTGGTTGATTTTCAACAGTACGTGAATCATTACATGTGCTTTGAGGTCGATGTGGGCCTAGCGACTTTAAAAATTAAAAAAGATAGTTTAAATAAATTTTTATAAACATATTTATATAAAAAACTACAATATGCATAATTTGCTGTTTTAATTAATTAAACCAAAATTTTTATTAAATTTTTTTTTTAATAGTATATTACTACAGCCAATTTTCAAAACCCCTTAAGGTAAAAAAATTGACTTTTTACAAAATAAGGTCATTTAGGTGTCTACAAATGTTATTCAATAAATATTTTTTTTTTAATTGCATTTTTCTTGAACTACATAAAGAGCATCTTAAAGCATTTACAAAAATGACTGTAGATTATCTTTTCCAAAGCCCAGGGGGTACTACAATTACAATGTTAACATATAAGAAAACTGCAATATATTTAATTTGCTGTTACAACTATTTATCTATTTTTTAATAAAATATTATCTCTTGTTTTATATATAAGATATAAACTTTTCCAAAGCAAAGAGGTCACTACAGTCAAGAAATATACACCTTCTTTTTATTAACGTTGTTATGCACTTCTCTTAAATCTTTAACTTATAAACCTTTAAGAAACAATTTGAACATAGTACTTCAAGGAATGTGGTAGGTTTAAGCACTGAATCTGTATCTCCAACATGCATAGCTATACCACTACACTACTTAATCCCTAAACCATTATCCTAGTGGTGCTTTTAAAGTGTAACTTTAAAAGCACCACTAAAAAAAAAAGTTAAAAGCACCTATTTATGTACCAGAAGATTAAAAGTACCTACTTATGTACCAAAAGTGCATTTCGTGTGCTTCTGGTACAAAAGGAGGATTGTAAAATGAAGCTGAAATGTTTTTTCAATTTCATAAACATGAAATTAAAAAAAGGCTATGCAAAGGAGATTTCAGTTTGCTTTGAAAGTATTTAATTACGCAGAAAAAATTGAAATATAAATGAATAAATATTTAGAAAGAATAAAAATGTATACTATAGTTATTTAAAACTATTTGTTTTTATTTTTTAACTTTAAAATTTAATTTTTTTTTATAACTTAATTTTTTTTAATAGAGTTTTAAAATTAGTAAATTTCTAATTTTCAATCTTGAGAATGAAAATTAACATCTGTTTTTTTTATCAATAAAATGAAAAAAAAAATATATATATGAAAAAGTATCAAAATTACTATTGGGTAAATTTTTTAAAATAACAATATCTCAGATTTTGCTAATTTTCAGTTTTAGAGTACTTAGAGTACTTAGTAAAATAAGAATTTCTTGAAAATTTTAGCGTCTAGCCCCAAAAAAATCCTGAAAAATGACTATTTTTACTTTTAACAAATGTTGACTAGACTTGTTCTTGTTTTTGTTCCCTCTTTTTTTTTTTTTTTTGTTATCTCTTGTTCTTGTTCTCTTGTTTTCTCAGAATAGCAACATTTATTTAGATGTTTCAAGTTACATAACTTTAAAAATATTTGATCTTTTTACTTAAGAATTTGTACATTGTTATTTTCAAGGTTGACGAATCCAATGAAATGATCAGAAATGTAAAAAAATATTTTTAAGTACCTGAAATTATCAATTTGAATAAATTTAGGCTAATTTTTAGATTGATTTTGATACTCAAGAAACCCATGTGGCCTTGATGATATAAAAAAAAATTTTACAAATCATTCATTGATATTCAAAAAACATAAGGATTTTGATCTGCAAGTATATGGATTTCCATATATAACGGAGCATGGTCCACACTTTTTTGTAGTGGAGAATTGCAGTTGATTTCTCATTACCTTCTAGACTAGCTGGAGCTCTTAAACCCTTGGTATTTCTAAAGTACAGAAGAACGTGCATGTTAAAGTTTTTTCAGGGCCCAAGACACATAAAGGGGAGGAGTCTCGGGTCACGGCCCCACTTTTTTGAAGCAGAATCTTTTGATAGATTTTTTTCTAATTTACAGACTGGAGCTTTGAAATTTTAAGCATTTGTTTAGTCCTGGATAAAGGTGTATTAAAATTGTTTCCAGGGCAGATGACCAGACAGGGTAGCCACAAAAAATTTTTATAAGAAAAAGAGGATTTTAGAGGAGATTTTGCATTTCATTTAGAGGATTTTTTTTGCAAAACTACTAAATTTTGAATAAAAATAGAGGATTTTAGAGGATTTTTTTTTCAAGGTTTAACGCCTATGTTTCCACATAACAAATAAAGATATGGACAGGGGTCAACAATGTCATTTTTTGTTAGATGACATAGATTTGCTAAAATTGATTTTTTACAACCTAACTCTCATTTCAGACGTTTTGCATATTGCAGACCATGAACTTTGAAAATTTTACTACCATCAAGAAATAAAAATAATATTAAAAAAAAGAGAAGTTAAAGAGGAGATTTTATATTTTTAACTTTTTAGAGGATAATAGAGGATTTTAGTCTTTTAGATTGTTGTCTGCCCTGAAAACAATTTTAACATACATTCATCAGAACAACACAAATGCTGAGAGTTTCAGAGCTCTAGTATATAGTATCTATATATATATATATATAGTATCTATATATATAGATACTATATATATATATATATATATATATATATATATATATATATATATATATATATATATATATATATATATATATATATATATATATATATATATATATATATATATATATATATATATATATATATATATATAGTATCTATATATATATATATATATATATATATATATATATATATATATATATATATATATATATATATATATATATATATATATATATATATATATATATATATACATAGATAGATACTATATATATATATATATATATACATAGATATATACATATATATATATATATATATATATATATATATATATATATATATATATATATATAGATTTTATATTTTTAACTTTTTAAAGGATAATAGAGGATTTTAGTCTTTTAGATTGTTGTCTGCCCTGAAAACAATTTTAACATACATTCATCAGAACAACACAAATGCTGAGAGTTTCAGAGCTCTAGTATATAGTATCTATATATATATATATATAGATACTATATATATAGATACTATATATATATATATATATATATATATATATATATATATATATATATATATATATATATATATATATATATATATATATATATATATATATATATATATAGTATCTATATATATAGTATATATATATATATATATATATATATATATATATATATATATATACTATATATATATATATATATATATATATAGATATATATATATATATAGTATCTATATATATATATATATATATATATATATATATATATATATATATATATATATATATATATATATATATATATATATATATATATATATATATATATATATATATATATATATATATATAGATACTATATATATATATATATATATATATATATATATATATATATATATATATATATATATATATATATATATATATATTAGTTGTTTTATAAAAACAAATGATCTTAATTATTTTATTATGTTCATTCATTTCTCTTCTTTGTTTTTTATTTTATTATGTTCATTAATTTCTCTTCTTCTTTGTGAATGCAAATGTCATGGTATATAAAAATTTAAACAATTACAATTCTACAATTAACGAGTAGAAGAGTGACATATCATTTAAAAAAAACTTTGGTAATTAAACCAAAATTTATTTCAGATATAATCAAACCAATAATTTGTAAGCATCGCAAAAAATGGCAGAAAAACAACCTTCGCAACCATCACGTTTCTTTATTCAAGCATCTTGACGTTTGTATAAAAAATTTTGCAATGAACGTAGCAATTTTGCAAGATCTATTTGAGTATTAATATATTGTCTTATTAAAATAATTTAATAAAAAATAACATTTTTTATTGCGCTTTTTTAGTTAATTCATTTTTCTTATGCTTTGTAAATTAAACTACATATTATAACAATTAACCATGAAATCTCTAAGCTATCTCTAAGACAATTATATTGAAATCTTTTTTTAAATAAACTTTGAACCAAAGAGTTCTATTCTTTTATAATTGTATTTCAACTGTTGACTAAAATTTTAATTATTACTATCGTTTCTATTTTATTAACTATCATACTCTTTTATGAACTCGAAATTGATTTTATACTCTTTTCGGAAATTAGGAGAAGATATATGTTATTTTGATGCGATATGTAAGTTAAAATTTGAGATAACCTAATTTTAATTTTTAAGAGGCTTAGTACTTAAATATATTCTTCTTAAATATATTCTTTTATAATATAGGCATGCACAAAAAAAAACATACGAATTAAATTAAAAAAATCTTATTTACATTTTTTTATGAATAGAACCAATAGAAGGGTATTAAATGCAGTATTATTTTATATATCAGGTTTATTGTTGTAAAAAATATTTAAATGTATTAAATATAGCGCAAGTATAAAAACAAAAATAAAATATGAAGAAATCACATAGTATTATTTTTATCATACAAAAAAATATATACAGTTATAAATTATTTATAAATATTCATTTTAAATAAACTAGCCCAAAATATCTTCAATTTTAAAATCGAAAGCAGTTTTTTTGCTTTTACTCATATCAATTTTACAATATTAGCATATTAAATTAACTGCCGCTTTTTTCAAAAAAAAAAAAGTTAACACGGAAGAATACAAGGAAATATGCACTACTTTAAACAAGCCTTAAGTATGACTAACTAGTTTATCAATGAATTAAGCACAATGTGTGATTATACTAAAAATAAATTGTCTTGATTAACTAACAGTTCTTATTGTATAATTTTAAAAATTTCAAAGAATACTTAAAACCCGAACTATTATGTTAAATTCTTTTGCTATACGTACATATTTTGGCTGCTTTTTAACATACTAATCATTTATCTTTTAACATAAATAACTTGTTTGATTTTTTCAGATTTTAGATTTTTTCAGAATTTATATCAAAAAATTCAAAAAAAAAATTTCAAAATTTTTTAAGCATATTCTCAATGAAATAGTTTCATTTTTTAACTAGTAAAACAAACAGTTTTAGAAAATTATATTATTTGAAAAGTTTTTAAAAGAATAACTAAATAAAAACATAAAAATATTTAACTTTATTTTTACCAAAAATTTATATTTTGCAAAGGCTTTATTTCGCCCGTGTAAACTGATTTGCACATGGGTGTGAAGTTGGATGCGGGCTATAGCCCGCGATTCCTGCTGAAGCCTATCTATATATATATATATATATATATATATATATATATATATATATATATATATATATATATATATATATATATATATATATATATATATATATATATATATATATATATATATATATATATATATATATATATATATATATATATATATATATATATATATATATATATATATATATATATATATATATATATATAATACATGCATACTTATATACATATATATAAAAACTACTTACTCCAAACTCTTCAGAAAACAAATAATCTGAGTTTGAATGCAGTTCAGCAACTCGTTTAGAAAAATCGATTGGATTCAATGACGTTCTCAGAACTTCTAAAGTAGATAATAAATAGAGATAAGAAGAAAAGAAAATTAACTTGACAGAAAAAAAAAACATTTCAGTCATGTTATCATATTTTTATACCATTGTTTGAGGTAAATGTGTGCATAACTTTCTTTTAAAGTACTTTTTTCTTCTTTATGTTTATTAAAATTTTTTATCTCAAAATGAATTGTTAAAAAAAGATTATGGAAGCAAAAAATCTATACTTTAAACAGAAAGTAATCAATAAAGCTGTAAAGACTAGTTATTAAGTTGTGATTGAGTTAAAACCTTGAAAAGAATAAAACAAATAGGTGCCACTTTTGTTATAGTATTTGCTTCCTATATATAATATAGCTTACTATATAATATAGCATACTACATAATATAGCATACTATACAATATAGCATACTATATAATATAATATACTATATCGTATAATATATTAAAATCATTAAAAAAAATCAAACTTAAAAGCTTCACACTACATCAGAACAAACATACAAAGAAATAAAAACCTCAAAACACTGAAATATTTTATGGCCTGTAAAAATCTGACTCAATATTTAGGACAGTTTAAAAAAAAATTTTCAGAAGCTTAATTTAGATTAATTTAGAAAAACAACAAAAGCTTTTGCTGAAAAACACTTTAAACTAGCAAGATTAAAAAAATTTCTTTAAATATAACATTTTGCTAAACAGCATTACCAAAACATAATTTACAAAATTTATATAGCCATTGTTTCAATTTAGGAAGGAATTCAATACTTAATAAAAAAGTGAAAGTGTAACAAGAAAGTTGAAAAGTATTGTCAAAAATAGAAGAAATTGAAGAAAAAAAAAGCAAAAATCACAAGGGCTTCAGCAAAATGTTTTCATGTTTACAAAAATATAAAAAAGAACCTGCAAAATTTACTATTAAAAGACAAAATTTTTAATAAACTCCTTTTGAAAAAATTTCAAAGTTTTATTGTTTGAGTTGCTTTATTTTGATTTACCTTATGCTAAGCCACTTACTCAAAACACTCTAAACTGTATAAATATATATAAACAGTCCTGGGAATCAGAAAAAATAAGCTTGTCAAAAAAAATTTGATACAAAAGTTTTACCATAAAACATAGAAACAAGGTCAGGAATTTTTTGCCAACATTGAAACCTTCTAGATTAACAGTTAGGACAAAAGAAGAAATTGCATCATCAATCATTGACACAAAGGAAAGATCACCTCACAATGTCAAAAGACTCAGATAACACATCAGAACCCAAATCTCCTTAAAAATTCAAAACTCAATAGCTCAAGATAAAGTCGAGCAATTATTAATCGCTGTAAGTCTAAAAGAATCCTAGCAAAAACATAAAAATTTTATAAATACAAACAAAGTTAAGTTTATAATTGCATGCATTTTGAAATTGCCACCCTTTTGTATGAAATTGAGTCACATTCAAGCAAACATTCTTGCTGTTGATGTGACATTGACTCAGAAAATCTTTCTAAGGGAGGTGTCAAAAGGTGTCTAAGGGAGGTGTCTAAAGAAGAGTCACAAGTTTATTACTTAAATCAAATAAAAGCAAATAAAATATATCAAATAAAGCCCAAAGAATTTAACAATATGTTAGAAGCTTCTTTAACCATAGCTGAATACTCTGAACTTGTTTTGAATTTAATTACACCAAAGCTACAATTTTGACAGTATACAAGAAACTATTCTGTAAAACTTAACTGACAGATGCAGCCTTTTTACAGTGATCAACTTGCAGAGAATAAGTGTAGTACCCTATGGAAGAATGTTATTATACTTCAAAGAATAGCAGAAAAATCCTGCACATTTTAAATTGTAGGTTTCATTGAAAGATTCAAGCCTTTTAGAAGTGTTGTAGTTTCATATTTTGGGCTATCTTTAGATGACAGGTTCTTGGAAAAATCCAAACATAACTCTTCTTGCCAGACACTGAGACTAGTAAAGCACATGCTGTTTTCTACCATGTTCCACAATTCATTAAACACCAAGGCACTTCACTTGGATTATTCAGTGAACAGACAAAAGAATCATTCAATATTCAGATCATTAAAAAGATACAAAGAAAAAAAAATCCTGATCCAGCAGCTTTGTTGACATCAACAGCAAACATTTATAGAGTCATTGAAAAAATTGTTTCAACATAAAGTATTAATACAAAATATAATATTATGTTAGTGTTGTGCAGTCGCAATAAATATTTTTTAGTATTTCTCTCTTTTTCATAACATAAAATATAAAAGTTGAAGTTAAAAATAAAACATTCTTATATGATATTTGCTAATTAAAAAGAAAATTTTTAAAGTAAAATATCTCACTCAGACTCAAGGAAAAGATTTTAATGTTTTACCAAGTTAATCCTATCAGAGAGATGGCTATATACTTATGTTAAAAACATAAGTATATAACAATCTCTCTGAAAGGTTTTCTAGTTTCTGGTTGAGACAAACTTTTAAAAAACAAGATTAGAATTACCTTAATATTTTTTATACTCTAACAAGTTATTTTTGTTCATTACTTTCAATAAATGTAAACTAAGTATTATATTTTTCAGATCAATGTTATCAAATTTAAAAAATTTTGTTTAGTTTCAAAAAAAAAAAACTAATAATAATGAAAATTTCTAATAAAAAAACTTTAAATAAAATTAACCTACCTGTGTTCATTAGATTTTTTCGAATATTTTTCCTAACTTCATTTTTAATGTTATCTTTTTTAAAGAGTTTTTTACGATAGAACAATGCTACGCAGCCGTGACGTTGCACATAAACTATAGTTACAGCTAGAATTATCAGCATAATCATTCCTAATATGATGGGGATAAGAATCAAAAATCTTTGCTTTTTACCTAGAAAAATATTTTTATATATATTTAAAATATTTTATATATGAACATATACATGCATTTTTTTTTTTAGTAATTTTCATTTAGGTGCTTTAAAAAGTTCTTACGGTCTTATTACAGAGTACCAAAGAACATTTAACCAGGAAGTTCTACCTCCTTCCTTACTTATAATGCATATATGGCTAGAGCCAGAACCAAGCCACAGACCTCCAGTTCTGAATATATATATATATATATATATATATATATATATATATATATATATATATATATATATATATATATATATATATATATATATATATATATATATATATATATATATATATACATATATATATATATATACATATATATATACATATATATATACATATATATATATATATATATATATATATATATATATATTATATATATATATATATATATATATATATATATATATATATATATATATATATATATATATATATATATATATATATATATATATATACATATACGGAAAAAAACATATATTGAAACTTTTTAGTCTCTGTGTAATAAGGTTAAAAGTTCAAAAAACTCTCAACCACTCAACCAAGAGGTAATCTACTGTTTAGAGTGGTACCCCTCTCAAGAGGTAATCCACTGTTTAGAGTGGTACACTTCTCATCAAGTACTATTTTGAATAACTTGAAAACTATTGGATTATAATTAGAATGAGAATCAATGAAAAAAATTCCATAGAACAATTCCAAAGAAACAAAGAATTCCATAAACAACGTTACCAACGCAGCAATTTAACATGGAATAAGTACAACAGACACATTTGACAAACTTTAGAGAATCAAAACAGCCGATATGATCAAAATTGTGTTGGGAATTGTCGTAATTAAAATGAAGCAAAAGTATAATAACAATATCAAAATATTACGTGAGCAAATCAGCGCTTTGGCAAACAGACCTCCAGCAGCAAAGTCAAGTACAACAAATGAAAAACTATTCTATCTTGACATGGCAAAAAGGAACCAAATTGTCATCTTAGCAGCAGCCGAAACAAAGACAAGAAAGGAGAAAGAGTCAAATGTGGTCATTGTAGGACTCAAGGAATCAATAAACGTAAGCGATGAAGAGCTTGTCAACAAGTTTTTTGATGCTATCAAAGTGAGTAAAGACAATATTGTACATGTTCGCCAATACAAAAAGTAAGATAGATACAAAAAGTAAGATAGATATAAAGAGACAGAACAGCTCTCAAAAAGGTGAACAAAACACAACAGACCCAGTCGGGGTTATCCAAGTTAGATCTGCAATCACCCAACGTGAAAAACAACAGCAATCAAAATAATGCTGCAACCACTGCGGCCACTCTAGCCATGACAAGCACGGCTTAAGCCTAAATCTCACCAAACTGACTCCAACACGTTTAATCTCCAATCTTCTGCCACTACTAATAAAGCTAATTGCAAACGACTCAATTTTTGGGCAGACAACCCGCGGTCACTGAAGGGTGCCAAACAAGATGAGCTGATTGCGAGAATAGATATTAAAGAACAAGCAGACAAACCAGACTTGCTCTTCTTTGCAGAGCCATGGTAATTCAGACATCTATGGAAACTGTCAAATATAACACCAATCTTCAAGACAGGTAGCAGAAAGAAGCGCTCAAACTACAGAACAATATCACTAACATCAGTACCATGCAAAATAATGGATAGCTTCATTCATGAGCGAATCATGAAGCACTGCTATAACAATGGTCTATTCACAAAAGCTCAATACGGTTTTTTACCTAAGCAGAGCTGTGTGTCTAATCTACTAGAAGCTTGCGAAATTCTGATGGACGCAGTTCATCATGGCTATGCCATAGACATGATATACACTGATTTAGAGAAATCCTTCAGCAAAGTGCCACACAAAAGACTTCTGCATATTCTAAAAGCTTATGGTTTATGCGGCTCACAGTTTAGGTGGATATCAAACTGGCTGGCTAACTGAAAGCAAAGGGTTGTTGTTTGCAAAGCTGAATCTGGGTGGAAAGAGGTAACTAGTGGAGTGTCTCAGAGATCGTTGCTAGGACCGTTGCTATTCATTCTCTTTATTAATGACCTACCAGACAACATAGCTCACCACATCAATATATATGCTGATGACAGAAAAATACTAAGTGTAATCAAAACAAAGGAAGACAAAGCACGCCTCCAGCTGGATATTGATAAGGCAGTAGAACCGTCCAAAAAAAGGCTAATACAATTCAACTTAGACAAATGCAAATGCATGCACATAGGTCACTCCAACAAATCAGTCTACGTCTACACAATGACTGTTCAGATGAAAACAAGACAAGAACTGGGTACAACTTTAGTCGAACGAGATCTAGGTGTTCTTGTTTCAGAAGACTTAAAAGTCAAGCATCAAGTTAAAGCAGCAGCTGCAAGAGCAAATTAGGTACTTGGTCGGCTTAATAAATTCTTCAGAAGCAGAGTTTGGAATACTTTGGTAAGTCTTTTACAAATCGTATGTTAGACCACACCTTGAATTGACCATCCAATCATGGTCACCACATCTGAAGGAAGAGAACAAAGCTCTTTAAATCAGTCAAAAACGTGCGACAATGCTGATCACAGAAACCAAACATAAATCATATGAAGATAGACTTACAATTCTAAGCCTAACCAAATTAGAAGATAGACGAGTTAAAAATGATTAGATGATAGACGAGTTAGAAATGAAATAGAAATTCAGCAATATAAGATAGTGCATAATGTTGTGAAAATCAAATTTGTTGTGCATTAAGTCTATGCACAAACGCTTTCCCAGGATAACCTTCGTGGCAATAGCTCAAGACTTACTAAGCCGTTAGTCAAGAATTGTGTCAAAAGAAAAAAATTCTTTACAAACTGCGTAGTCAATGCATGAAATGCTTTACCATCAAGCGTTGTTAACTCCTTTTTAACTGACGCACTAAAAGTCAATTTGAGGCACTAACAGTTTAAGTATAGACACATTGTGTGTCCAATTTTGTCAGCATGGAGGTTCCTGGTGCTGCACCTCTTCATCAATATATTATAAACATTTTATTCTTCATGGACTAAAATTGTTATAAATATTATTGATTTCTGAATAAACAAATATATATACATATATATATATATATATATATATATATATATATATATATATATATATATATATATATATATATATATATATATATATATATATATATATACAATATATATATATATATATATATATATATATATATGTATATATATATATATATATTGAAGTTATTAAAGTTATTAAGAACAATGGATATACTGGTTATTACGGATTTAGTATGCTTTTGAAGGTATAATCATAAATGTATTTTAGTTTTGGAGTTGAAATAAAAGCTTATTTTTGCTTTCTGCAGTTTTTTATTGTATACTGATGTGTCAATATATATTTACATAGTATATTTTTATATTGTATTTTACTTGAAGTATTTTTGTATTAAAACAGATATGGTAATTGACATACAATACTTCCTTTATAAATCTGAACATATGTTTTTTTAGTTTTAAAGTGTGTGTTAGTGTATTAGTGTTAGTGTGTGCACACTTCTTACACTTTATCTTATATTTCACATTTAAATTGAAACAGTTTTTTCTTAAAGAAGAAAATTAATAATTATTTTTTTCGACTGTAACGTAAACATTAAAAATAATTTATGTATTATAAAACTTTATATAAATAAGTAAATATTAAATAAGTTAGTAAGTATTAAAATTAATAAAGACAAATAGTTTAACTTTTAAAAACCATTATTTTATTATAATTAAAAAAACAAAGAAATTCATAATAAAAATAACAGTGATAGCTTTTTACATAAAAAGAAATAAAATATTACCAGTTCTAAAAAACGTCTCAAGTTTAGTGCTATTATATTGTTTGTTATTTCTTGATCGAATAATGTAAGAAGATATTGCTATCGCATAAGATGTGTCTTCCTTAAGAGAAGAAATCACTGCTTCAGATTTATCTCTACCAAATTTTAGGTGTTTGCAACTATCAGAATCTAAATATTAAAAGTCCAGTTTAATGTTAATGTCATCTTACATCATTTTAAAGTAGTTTCTGGGCTTTTCTAGGCGCATTTCTTGATTTCATGTGGTCTTTCAAGCAAAGTCTGCAAGCAAATTAGAGTTGATAAATTTTTCCAATTATTCAAGAAGAATTGATGTTGTTCTTTGTTTAATTTAGTTTGTTTAATTAGCAGTTTTAACAAATATTTGTTTTTTCCAGGTTGTTTACTTAGTATGTTTAGATTCTTATAAACAAAACAAAGCAGGTTTTTATTTTATTAGAAAATGGAAAGAGCTGAAGTTACTTCGATTCACTTTTTTTTTTTTTTTTTTTAATAAAAAGATTAATAAGGATAAAATATTAAAGACAGTAAAACTAGTACTAATATGATTACGTTTACTATTTAGTTTTATTTTAAGTTGGAATTTTATTTTAATATATATAACATAAAAAACTAGATAAAATAAGATTATTTGTTGATTTGTTGACAAGTGTTATTTGTTGACATGTAAGTTTATATACTTAAATGTAATAATATTTCAGTATATTTTATATTTTTCTGTATCTTTAAGTATTTTCTTTTCAAGAAAAATAATAAATAACACTACAAATTAAAAGATTCTGCCAGAAGTAGGTGAAAATGAATGATAAGGCCGGGTGAATAAAAAAAGCAAGTGCTCTCAAACAATTGCTTTGAACAAATGTAAAAGCTAAAAAACAAATGCTCATGGAAAAAAACAACTGCTTAAAAATACGTGAATAAAGTTTTACTTTTACATAAGTTATTGCTTCCACTCAGAGGCGATTTTATGGGGTAGGAGGAAGGAGTGGTGGTGCGTGTCACCCCCCTAAAGAAGGTGATTTTCTAGTTATAGTCGTTTTTTTCACAAATTTATTTGGCTAGTTGGGTATTTGACTTAATTCAGTCAGTTAAATTTTCTTTTTGAGGACCTTTTTTTTTTTAGAAGCTACTTAGTACCCCTTCCCCTCATTTTATTTAAGGAATCGCCTCTGCTTCCACTTAAAAGTAAATGTTTTATGCCGCTACCAATAAAAATTGTTTTTTTTATTTTGCTTTAAAATGGCTGCTTATCAGACTGACAATTATAAAAACTAAAATGAAAGTATATTCACCAGTAATTATATGTGTGTGTATATATTTACACATTTATATGTATGCCAGTAAACATATATGTATATGTATACATAAGATATATATGCCAGTGAATATATATACTTGTGTATATATTTAAAAATTTATTTATTTAAAAAAATATATATTTATACATATAAATTTATACATATATATATACATATATATACACACATATATATATATATATATATATATATATATATATATATATATATATATATATATATATATATATATATATATATATATATATATATATATATATATATATATATATATATATATATATATATATATATATATATATATATATATATATATATATATATATATATATATATATATATATATATACAAAAAATAGTAAAATAAAGTACTAAAAAAAAAAAATGAATGTCCAATTATTAAAAAATAAAACAAAAAGCAACTACTAAAAGTGCTAGTAAAATTTAAAAATTAAAAAAATTGCTTAGAGTAAATGCTTTTGCACAAAAAAAAAGCAATTATAAAAATTATTATTAACGTAATTTGAGCAATAACTCTAAAAACTTGGAGTAATAGCAATTGCTCATTTTTATTCACATTAGCTTGTGTGTAACCCTATGTTTCTTTGTTTAAAGTGTTATGCTTCTTTTTAAAGGTATGTGAGTATATATATTTTTAGAATTGTTAAATTTGTTTATAAACTGTTTCATCTTTTTTATTGCTTTAGATTAAAATATACAGGCTGATATTGATTCATTATTTTAACAAGTTAGTTCATAGTAGTTCTTTGTTTAATTAAAAATAATTGATGTTATTAAATACTGTTTTATATTTTTAATAAACATTTAAGTTTATTTCATAAAAAATTTGTATTTATTTTTTTGTCATACTAATTTGTATCTTGTAAATAAATACATAAAAAAAAATTTCAATAAATCCAAAATCTAAATATATTAATTTTTTATTTCAAATATTATTTTCCTTAAAATTTTGATAAAATTAGTTAAAACTTTTATCACTTTCCAAAACAAGTTTTCAAACTAATAGATTAAATTATAAGGTTTATATATCATATATACTCTAAACTAATTACATTTGATTTTCTTTTTAATATATACTGCCTTACAAAAGATATTTTGCTTTACTTTTTTTTACTCTTAAAAAGTCTTATAAAAATCTTATATAGCTTAAAAACAAAATAAAATTCAACATTGTGTTTTTATTTTTATTACCAAATAATAAATCCTATATATTATTGCTGAACTTAATAGTGTTAGTAGTAGTAGTAGTAGTAGTAGTAGTAGTAGTAGTAGTAGTAGTAGTAGTAGTAGTAGTAGTAGTAGTAGTAGTAGTAGTAGTAGTAGTAGTAGTAGTAGTAGTAGTAGTAGTAGTAATAGTAGTAGTAGTAGTAGTAGTAGTAGTAGTAGTAGTAGTAGTAGTAGTAGTAGTAGTAGTAGTAGTAGTAGTAGTAGTAGTAGTCCTCATTCAAGCATGTTTGACACGGAACCCTTGGCAGCCATTGCAATTGAGGTTGTGGCGAGAAAGAGTTGCAGCACTTTGTTTTATAAGAAAACGTGAACGAACAGGTATGCATATATCTAATGTACGCGAACTTCAATTTAAGTAATGTTAAAACAAAATAAAATATTCATCAAGTTTTATAGTTTGATTTTCACTTGAAAATTGAGTCAAGCTCTCTTTAGCTTTGATCTACAGCATTTCCTTCCGTTAAAAAAATCATTACATAGTTTTAGAAAGTTTTGTTTAACAAAGTGTTAGCGTGGCTGAGTGGATAGCGCACTGAGCTTCTGAACAAGTAAGCCGTGGTTCAAAAAAAGCCTGTTACTAGAAAAAAATATAAACTTTCTTTTGACAACAAAAAGTTTTTTTTTGCTTTTTCAAAATGGCTTAATATGCTTATTACGTATTTCGACAAAAAATTAAAAAAAAAAAATTATTTCATTGTAAAACCTTTTTTTAAAACGGATAATTTTTATGAATTTTTTCAGAACTCTTTGAAAATATGTATTCAATAACATTGTAGACATATAAACTAGCTTATGTTGTAAAAAAGTCAAAATTGATATTTTTTACATTAGACGTTTTGAAAAACGGCTACAATATGGATGATACAACGAATATGTTAAAATGAGATAATTTGACGCAAAATATAAAAGCCTGACGCAAAATATAAAAGCCTCTTAACAAAAGTCACTAAACCAAAAAAATTAAAAGTAATTGCAGTTCAGTGCACTTAAAAAATTTAATATAGTGTGTTGGTGTTTGCAAAGAGATGTTATATAAATTATTTTTTAATTTTAATATAAACTAATTTATTTTGTAAACTTTGTAATAATTACAAGTCTTTTTGTTCAAACTGTTTTGTTTTGATTCTTTGTAGTTATGTTATTATATTTAAAAAAATTAACAAGATTGAAAAAACACAAAACATATTGTCACATCCAAAGTGACGATATGTTTTGTGTTTTTTCAAGTGGAAAATTTAAAAATTCAACTTTAGATTTGCCCCTCTCTCGATAATTTCTGAATGCTAAAATTATGTCATCTGCTTCTTAGACCTTTAAAAATGGTAGTCATAGAAATAAGATTTTTTTGCATATGCGACACAATGATCGCAACAAGTGACCAACGGAGCCGTTTAGTTACGTAGACCTGGGAGATGTGAAAATAAAAACAGATTGAAGATGATGTCGTTTAAGAGTAATAAAACATAAATTATTGTAAAGACTATTTAGTAGAAGGAGTAAAAGTTAGCAACACAGGAAAAGAGAAATAAACTCACACTCTAGTCATCTTTTAGCAAATGATAAAACAATGATCTATGAGTAAACAAGTCAATAAAAATCTGCTGGTTTATAATGGTATTCATAACTAAAATAATCGCACCATACAAATGTCTAATAAATGTGGTACTGTATATGTTCTAAACTCTAGATAAAAAGTTGAGAACTGATAATCACCTGTGTAACATAAAAATATATAAATGTTGTTAATGTAACAAATTCATAATAAACAAAGCGCAAAAATACATGGGTGTAAGAGGTAAAAAAATGTTGGTGCCAAAATAACCAATTAGAATTAAGTAGTGGATAAATGGTGATCTCCCTCCTCAAGAATGCACTGCAATAATTAAAAGTAATTTATAAGCTCTACGTATAAGCTCTTATAAGCTCTGCTGCAAAGGTACGCATGTTTATTTTTTTGCTTACAAATTTTGCTTTTAAGAACAAAATTATTTTGCTGAAAAATATTGAAGTAAATAAAGAACTGGAATAGAAATAATTGGTTTGGAATAGATATGTATAAAAAAGGTAGATTTGGTAAAGACCCATGTTTGCGGATCCACAAAGCTAGGATATGTAAGGAAAAAGTATATGAAAGTTCAGTTTGGAATAGACTTACAAAGACCTGTATTTTTATGGGTTCGATCTCAGCTAGTCTATATTATTAGGATTGCAGGGTTTTTTTGTTTTTTTTTATATTATTATTTGTTATTTATCTATTTACAGCTATGTTCTTAAAAATATGTTTTTTAAAACTTTATTATTTTTAATATATTTTTAATTAAATTATTTTGATGTTTTTTTTTTTCTTTTCTTTGTTTAAATAATGGTGGTACATAAAAAATTCTTATTTTATTCTTTTGTTCATTTAGATTAGTAACAAATAGTTTTATTGAAAAAACCGCAATTCTTAAGAATGCGTTTATTTTTTACAACAGTAGTAATATTATGTTTATTGACAACAGTGAAATTAAAATGGATGGTATTAATTGAAATGGATGATATTATTTGAAATAGATGATATTAGGCTCAAAAAAAATATAAGTAGAAATACTAATAGGCAGCCTTAAAATAATTGACATTGAAGTAAAAGAAATAGAAGTTATTAAAATTTAAGAATGAGAACAAATTAATTTGAACCAAAATGAGGACAACGTGGTTAGATTATGCGGTAGTGGTGTAGTGGTAGAGCGCTCGCTTCATAAAAGAGTGGTTCCGGGTTCGATCCCCACTATGTCCCTAGTAATACCGCGCTCAACTCATTTCTCCGCGCAGCGGCCTTGTTCGTCAAGGTTCAAGTTTTGGAGTTATAGAGTTGAGAGAGGGTTATAGCCACAAAATAAGTAGCCTCCTCGTCTGTAGTGGCCTTCTCGGCCCTGAGAAGGTGAATTAAAATTTAAAAAAAATAAAAAAAAGATGAGTTAAAAAAAACTGTTGCAGAAATAAAAGAAAAAGATCTAGGCAAGAGGAAATTAACCATCAACAAAAATGTTGCTATACAAGAAAGAATGCGTTGTACGGCAA